TGCACAGGTCTAGATGTTACGAATTCCTTGTAATATCACATGTCTTGGGTACATTTCAGAATGCTATGATTTTACATAAAAGCATAAATTACGTGGTGAGGGGGTAAAACGTAAGACACAGTATGTAGGTTTGTAGGGTGATGATAAATGACCTATGACTGTCACTGTAACCAAAATTGATGTTCCATCATTTATAAAAGTAAAACAGCTAATTGAAAGCAAATTTCCTTTAACTGCTGAAATTCAAGATGAAGTGATAGGAGTCATGAATCACAATTCTGTAGATCTGCTAACGTGTCAGTACACTGACACTCAGTGGTTATTGATGGCCGAAGTATCTAATATAGTAATGGGAATCCAAGGAAGGGAAATGGAATACGTGTTTGGTGAGTACCTTAAGTCGTGTTGATACCGCGGATAAAGCAGGGAGAATTTGAAGATGTTTCATCCAGCCTTCGTCAGGGTACAACAGGGTTAGGGGTGAAAGACTACTCTCTCTAGGCAACTCTTTCTGGTGTGGATCAAGCAAGCCACTCACAGTCACTTGGCTGCCATCCTTATCCCTTTCTTGCAAAACACCAGGTGGTAGGTAGACCCCTTCCTGGCTCTGAGCATTTTTACCATTTCGATTCTGCTGTCCAAGGTCTTTCAGAGGAACACAGCACACATGCAGTGTGACAAGACATGAACATCAGAGGCAGGAGAAACGGCTTGTGGTGAAGAGCCTTACTACCCTTATGTGTAAATCAACAAGCTTGGATTAAAATTCGTTGCTCTTCACACTTGATTTTTTTTTTAGCAAAACTTTATTCAAAAGAAATCTTTCCTAGCACCCCAGGATATGAAACGAGTAAAAGTGAGATTATTCTGATGTAAAGAAATAAAATTCAGCCCCCCCACCCCCTTATTTGAGTCATTACCTGCACCTTAGATGGTCATGAAAGTTCTTTCAAATTCAGAAATACTAATGTTTCATATTAATACCAACTAAAGTTATATCAGGGCTAAAAGAAAGCCAGGTCTTCCAAAAATGGACACAGTTCAAGTGATTCTGGGAAACACAGGGTGACAAATTTAATGGTTTGATAAACTAGGTTGGAGAGGTCTGGTGCAAGCCAGTCTCCACACACATGGTCTGTGAACACGGGGAGGGCATCCAGGTGGTCAAAAAGGTGGAATTGAATGTGAGAGGAACCTGGGCTGGAGTCTGGGCTTTTCCATTTACTAACTGCAACCTCGACCAAGTTATTTAATTCCCCTAATGCTCAGTTTTCTTAGCCATTAAATGGGATTGATACTTGGTGTCTATGGTACTTGCTACCTATGGCAACTGTGAGGATGAAATGGGATGTTAATAAACCTGTGAACTCTTGGCACAAAAGCCTGAGCACGTGGTAACTGCTCAAAGAGTGAGAGTTCACTTAAACACAGGTGTTTGTTGAAAGATTGACTTATCCTAACACTCTGGGAGGCTGAGGTGGGAGGATCCCTTGAGTTCAGGAGTTTGAGACCAGCCTTTGCAAGAGCGAGAACTCATTGCTACAGAAAATAGAACAATTAGCTGGGCCTTATGATGGGTGCCTGTATTCCCAGCTACTCAGGAGGCTGAGATAGAAAGATTGCTTGAGCCCAGGAGTCTGAGGTTGCTATAAGTTATGATGATGCCATAGCACTCTACCTAGGGTGAAAGAGTGAGACTGTCTGAAAAAGAAAGATTGACTTATCGATTGAATTGATTCAGAGCTAGCTTTCTCTTTCTGATGTATAAAATATCTTTATTTCTTTTAATTCCATTTTAAACATTAAAATCCAAGTTTGCTTTTAAAGCAAATTATTTGCTAATGTAAATAATCAAATTCTGATGATGATACAGTTTCATAACCTTCGAAGGAATAAGAAAAAATTGGGATGCTAACCTAGCGCGAACAACTTTGATTGAGAGAGCAGTCTCTTAAGATCCATAGGGCTTGTCAATTTACCACTTTTTTTCATGAACATAAAATGCTGTTTTATTAATTTTTTTTTTTTTTTTTTGAGACAGAATCTCATTTTGTCACCCTTGGTAGAGTGCCGTGGTGTCATAGCTCACCGCAACTTCAAACTCTTGGGCTTGAACAATCCTGTTGCCTCAGCCTCCTGAGTAGCTGGGACTACAGGCTCTCACCACAAGGCCTGGCTATTTTTTCTTCATTTATTTATTTTTTAGAGATGTGGTCTTGCTCTTGCTCAGGCTGGTCTTGAACTCCTGAGCTCAAGCAATCTACCTGCCTCGCCCTCCCAGAGTGCTAGGATTACAGGTGTGAGCCCCACCACACCTGGCCTTAAAACGCTCATTATTACACTTCAGAATCACTTGAACTGCTTGCTGAACCGCAGAGACCCATCCCCCCAGTCTCAGATTCAGTCTGAGGCAGGGCCTGAGAACGTGCATTTCTAGCTTATTCCCAGGCGATGCTGATGCCAGTGGGCTGGGGATATACTTGGAGCATCACCTCTTCAGGGTAAAAGTAACAATAATTAAATAATTTAACTCGGTCACTTCATTTGGAGAACAGAAGCCAAAATAGAGAAATGATAATGAAAAAAGCACATACCCAAGAAGACCTACACCGGCTATGCATCTGAGCTCAGCAATCCTCATAAAATTCATGACCCCTTTCAGGTATTTTTTTTTTTTTTTAACCATTCAAAACAAAAACCAACCTCGTCTATAACCTTGGTGGTGGTATGAAGTTTGTTTGTAAGCCCTTCCTGCACTGTTAGCGTTTACACTGACACGTGGTTTCCTGCTTTTGTTTTAGTATGGAAGAGAAGAAAGTGACTGGACAATCGTGTTATCCTGAACGAAGACTACAAGATTCTGACTGTATGCTGTGGGGACAGACTCTTGCTTTTGAATTTGTGCTTGATTTTTAGGCTGCCTGTTAGTGTAGTTTGTGTGATCAGTGTGTTGCAAGCGTGATTGTTTTCCTCCTGCCCGAGGAAATGATGTGCAATCATCGAATGGTGTTTTGAAAAATCAGACGTAGCCGCTTCCCGCCACCTTTGCCAGGCAAATGTTCACGTAAGCCATAGAACATGGAATTTCCCTCCGTGATTCAGTGCCTCCCCTAGACTTCACTCAGATGTTAGAGTGTTGGTTTATTCTTTGGTACAAGTTATGTTCTGCTACGCAACCCAAAGTGATTTTGTGTGTGTGTGTTTGAAAGCTGATCTGAGTAAATTTCACAAGTGATGTTTCCCGTGACACATCTTTAGCCTTAGAAAATGTTTTGTTTTGTTTTTAAGACTCTGACAAACTGCACTTCCTCCCATCCATCCCAGTGTTTCCCAGGACTCCTAGGTCCGTCCTAAGGTGAACGTCTCCCCTCTTGCTGACGTCACCCATTCTGCTCCAGGCTCACCTGGGGCTTTAGGAAGACCTGAGCACATTTCTACCAGGTGCCCTTTCCCACGGTATCGTGATGCTGCTAGTCAGGCTGCTACAAGACTGAGGGTCTCGTGCCTTATAGATCTTGGCACCTCCAGTGTCAGGCACATAGTAGGTATTCAGTAAATGTTTTGTATAAAGAATGATGAACCTTCAGCTTCTGTAGAAGGGCGCTTCCTTTGTTTGTATGGTGAGAAACCTCTTTCTTAGAACTGATGATTGATTCTGATAGAGTGTGTTTTACCTCACACGGTCTTTATTTCCCATGGGCTACTAAGTCATTAGAGACAGTACAGGCATAGTTAGTTGGAGAAATCATTTCTTACCGAAGACGGTCTTGGAAGTGAAGATAAAGCTTGACAGAGAGGTCAAGATGTCATCACGACCAAATGGACCATAACTGATGTTGTATGTTAAGTCTTAGATGCAAAATAAATTATCATTTTGTAGGGGGAGGGATGATATAGCTGGTTCTTTACTCTTTTTGGACGTGCCCTTTTCTGTTGGATGAGTATGCGGACAGGATACAGGGAAAGCCGTTATAGGTGGTATTTTCCTTATTTGAGAGAGATGAGTTACAATTGTATCCTTCTTGGTTTATCTGGGGGAAAGTCAAATCTTGATAGAAGACATTTAGCCTTAGAAGGTCAGCTCTCGGACATTGTATTTTGGTTTCCCTTGGTTCTAATAACTTTCATCTTGCTGATCATATTTTATTCTCTTTTTCAAAGCAACGGGGAAGAGAACATTCTGAAAGTTTGATGCGTTGGAAGAATTTCCTTAAGGCATTTAGCAACACATAGCAAATGGGCTTTGATTCTTTTTCAAAACTTTCAGCCAGAGGATCTTTTATAGACAGGAATAGTATAAAATGAAAATTAGAAAAGTATGAGATGAAAAGGAATGGTAAAAATATCTTTTTAGGGGGCTTTTAATTGGTGATCTGAAATTTGGGGGAAGTCTGTTCTTTCTAGGTCCTAGGTGCTTCTGACTTTCTCCCGCACACATTCACCAAGTAGCGTTCTAAGGATACGCTTTGCCTTGCCTAAATCCTTTGACCTCATTCTTTTGTGGTGGTGGTGGTGGTGGTTGTTTGTTTTTGACAGAGTCTCGCTCTGTCACTCTGGGTAAAGTGCCCTGGCGTCACCATAACTCACAGCAACCTCAGACTCTTAGGCTTGAGCAGTTCTCTTGCCTTGGCCTCCCAAGTAGCTGGGACTATAGGCATGTGCCATTCTGCTCTCCTAGTTTTTTTATGTTTAGTAGAGATGGGGTCTCACTGTTGCTCAGGCTGGTCTCGAACTCCTGAGCTCAGGTGATCTCCCTACTTTAGCCTCCCAGAGTGCTAGGATTATAGTTATGAGCCACTGCACCCAGCCTGACCTCATTCTTAATATGGTAGTCTAGAAAAAACTTGTGGGTAATTTTAGTTGTCAGGTAGCACACAATAACTAGACTTTGATGCCTATGACGTAGAAATTATTTATTTGCCATAATATATTTTATACTTCCCATCTCTAAATTTAGTGTGGCGAGACATGCCCATTGTGAAAGTTAGAAAACATCATATTTGTATGGTTTCTGTTATAAAATTTTAAGAGTGTTTTAAGCCCTTTCTACCAGACCCAGTGAAAACTAAGGGTGTACACTTTTTAAAAACTGGAGGTCTCCTAATACAGAGAACACAATCTGCCATTCTCATTTAAGTAATAAGACAGGAAATTGACCTTGACACTATCTTGTTAAATAGATTTAAAAGGAACATCTGCACATCTTTTTTCCTTGTGCACTGTTTGTTTAATTGCAATGGATTAATACAGCAAGAGTGCCACATTATAACCAGGCAATTATCCTTTCTTCAGGACTTAGTTATCCTCAACGCTAATTGATCATTTAAGGCATAAGACAGTATAGCATTAGGAACATGTGAAGCTAATCTGCTCAAAAAGATCAACAAATTAATATTGTTGCTGATATTTGCATAATTGGCTGCAATTATTTAATGTTTAATTGGGTTGATCAAATGAGATTCAGCGATTCACATGTGCATGAATATAAACAGAACTGGTGGCACTTAAAATGATAATGATTAACTTATTCTGGTCGTTCTCATCCACATTTTCAGCTTTTACATCTGAGACCAAGTTTGTCAGCTTTTCTCCAAAGCACATCCGTAGAGACCAAGATTTTAAAATGAAGTGTTCAGCTATAGGCAACCCCTGAGCATTGCCTAAAAGAGATTTGCTATTAGGAATTTTCTTTGTTACAGTCATTCATTAAGGATGCAACTCCTACCAAGAGAAGAGTCTGTTTCAGGGACCGTGTTTAGTCCAGGATTGAATACATTCAGAACACCTGCGAAGAGTCTGTTTCAGGGACCGTGTTTAGTCCAGGATTGAATACATTCAGAACACCTGCTTCAGCCTTTGCTCTCAGGAGCACGAAGGACAAATAGAAGGGAAAGAAGTGACGGAAAAACTTTGTTAGGGAATCAAAGTTTTTTTTTTTCCTACCCAGTATCTTCTATTCTTTTTTCAAAAGATTTCTGTAAGAGGAGAAACAAAAAAGATCAGTGGTAAGCAGTAATAAGAAAGCCCAGAATACCCTCAGCTCTACGCTGCTCTGTGATGTCAGCAGTCCTGCAGATGGAAGTGTGCTTTGTACATCCTGTTAGTTTTGTTGCTCCATAAAATTGTACTTCAGGCTCAGCGCCTGTGGCTCAAGC